CCGGCTGCCGCAGCCAGCCTCGCTCAACTCCTGTGCACTGGATTAATTGACCTTAGTTTTCCATATCATTTAAGCACCATTGTCCTAGAAAAGGAGAGCAATCTTCCAGTAATATTTTGGAGGATTCTGCCATGGGTTAGTTTTTGGTAATGAAAATTTGGCCCTTAAATACTGCTATGATAAAATCTTGGCTGTGTATTTGAAATATATCAGCAATTTGCCAATTTCAGACTGCTGAATGTTTTTTACTGCCAGGCTTGACTATCCCTGTGCAAAAATCTGTTAAGCATTGTAGATATGTTATCAGGATTTAAGTCAGTCTTTCTGGCGTGGAGCATTGTTTGTAACTAGGAACCATTATTTGGAATTATATGGGTTTTTTTTCTTGTTGGTAGCTTAATACGTGACTGGGTAGCAGGGGGTTGCTTGTCATAGTTATGTCTTTTGTCCAGTGAACGGTGCTGTTTGACCAGAAATCCCAGCCCTGGTGAGAATTTGGGTACCCAGCTACATTTTAGTCAAACATTTTACACAGGAAATCATGCTGAGATCAGTTTCTTTGCCCATCCATATGAACATATAACCTCCTTTTCTAAATACTTCCAGTTGTTCTCCTTTCTCCACTGCATCATATTCAAGCTTCTTTCCTTGCTTTCAAGGTTTGATATTATTCTGCCTCTCCTTACCCATCTAGCCTTATCTCTTATTGTTTGATCTCCTGTCTCTTCCACTCATCCAATGATATTAACCTTAACATCCTGTTTGTCTGCTCCTATAACAGTGCTCTCTTCTATGCCATTTCCTATATATCAGATGCTTTCCTGGGCTGGCCCATTCAAATCCCCATCAAGATCCATTTCTCCTTTGAGTAAAAAAAACTAGCTAGCTATATATTGATGTCATTGTTATCATCATCATCATCATCATCAAAGACCTGATAGAAATATCAAGATGTAGTGTATTATAATCTTTGACTTGCTCTTATTCTTATACCTTGTTCTCTTAGGCTATGTCAAGATTGCACGCTTATTGCTACATAAACTATTCTGGAATAGTTATTCCGGAATAGCTTATTTTGAAATAGCACAGCTACACTGCAGGGAAGTCTCGAAGTTAGTCTGAGGCAGGCTTCCCTAATGTAGACATGCTAACTCGATTTAGAGGCCCAGGAGGCACTGGGGAGAAATAACTTAGGGTATGTCTACACTACCACCCTAGTTCGAACTAGGGTGGTAATGTAGGCAACTGGAGTTGCAAATGAAGCCTGGGATTTGAATTTCCCGGGCTTCATTTGCATCTCACCAGGCACCACCATTTTTAAATGGTGCGCTAGTGCGGACTCCGTGCTGCGTGTAGGCTTCCTAGTCCGAACTACCGTTACTCCTCGTTTCGAACTAGGGTAGGGTGGTAGTGTAGACATACCCTTAGAGTGGCCCTGATGAGGGGCAATTTTGAAATAGCAGCAGTGGAGTGTCTACACATGCCTTATTCCAAAATAGCTATTTCAGAATAAGTGTTATTGCTCGTAGAATGAGGTTTTGCAGATTTCGGAATAAGCCATCCGTTATTTTGCAATAACAGAATGGCTGTGTAGATGCTCACGTTATCTCAAAATAATGGTGCAGTGTAGACGTACCCTTTCTCTTGATCTGTGACTTCTTTCCAGATTGTATGGCCTTTGGGGCAGCATCTTTGCCTTTTTATATGTACAACGTGTACCATATTTTATATAATACCAATGATTGACAATAATGCAAATAGCAAGTTTAAGATAATAAAACAGGATTCAGCTTAAAGATTTGATATTTATTCTCTTTTATTTGAATGTCAAATTCATTAGCCATATAAGGGGATTAATGTCAAATTCATTAGCATATAACAGCTCCCAGGTGTTTTTTGCTAAGGTATTCATTCTGACTATACTTTTATAGCCAAGAAAATTAGAGGGCATTTACAGAAATAGGTAAACTGTGGTGTCTGATGTTATCACTCATGTGTCTTGCATGTGCAGTCTTGCTAGCTGACAGGTAGCAGTGTGACTTCCTTGCTCCACATCTTCTGTTTGGCATCTCAAAGATTTGCTTTCATATGTGTCAAGATATGCTCATTTGGTTGTGGAATCCCTGTCATTATAAATGCTTTATCTGGTTCAATCAATATTTGTCTTCTATGGAATATCAGTTCCATTCCTGCAATGCTTTCTTGGGATATCATAATTACAAACAGTACAATATCTTAGCAGAAATATACAGGTTTTCAAACATAAGCTAGTTAAGAAATGACATGAATCACTTTCAAGGTAAGCACAAGGGAGAAAAGATTTTTCTCATTGGTAGCTGATTTTTCACTACAGTTAACACATGTTGCAATATATAGATAATTCAACTAAAATTTGCTTTTTGCTCTAAAATTTAAAAAATTCTACTGTGTAAATCTTGTTGGGTGCAGAACACAGTCCAAAATGTTGTTCTTTTAAGTGTAAAACTAGTTATCAAAATAAGTGTAATTTGTGATATTTTTCAAAGTGACTTTTCCCCTTCAACAGAGAGTTCAAGTAAGAAACAAATACTTTCCCCAGAGTTTCTGTGCTGAATTCCAGATTAAAAATAAATCATTTTCTGCTCTAAAAGATATGCTCTTTAGTTTAGTTTTAGTTCCACAGTGACTCAGGTGATTTCTGGATTAGATTTTGAACACCTATCAGGTTGATAATATATGTTGACATTTCTGGTCACTGGAGACTTTTTACAATGCTGTATATCACCACTGATAAAGAAACAGGTCTGCATTTGTAAAATTGTTTCACTCGCTTAGAACCACTGAATTAAGTCTTAAGTATTGTACTGGCCAAATTTTGAAATAACCTTGGCTAAGTTACTTTCACTTGTACTAATAAAATCCCTGATTTAGTTGAACAGATAGGTCACATGTTTGAACATAATTCTTAGGATTAGTATCTAGTGTCAATTCTAAATCGTGGATTCTGAATTTTCTTACTATTAATAGTCTGCAAAACATTAAAATTCCAGAGAATATTTTTACAATTTAAAAGGGTATTTAGTTACAGTTTTAAAACATAAAACTTCCCTTCATTATTTTTAATATTAGAGAATGCATTTAAGACTTCTGATTCCCTGGCTACTGAGAAGTTTGGCAGATGCAATATTCTGTATGACAGAATCTGCTGATAATATGATGTTCTTGGTCACAATTAACTATGCAGTAGACTTGAAATGCACCCTGTTCATTACTGAAAAATGAGCTGGAATGTTTGTGGGCTGTAAAAAGATGTAAGAGAGGAACAGGTGGCTAAAAAAGGAAAGAGGATTTGATGAGTGGACCAGCTTAGCATCTCTTCTCTTGGGGAGGATTAAACGGTAGGAGAAAAGTTTGGGCAAAGGTGAAAGTGCAGCCTGATTTAATAGCCCAGCCGTGGCCAACCCCCCTCTGGTTGCAGCTTGCGAAGCCCCCCTTGTGGCTCATAAGCCACCCCCACAGGCCCAAAAATGTGCTGACCCGGCAGAGGAGCCATCCGGTGCAGCCATGAAAGATGCAGAATTAAAGATGGTGGTGGGAGCCTGCTGTAGCCAAAAAAAGGAAAAAAAAAAGCCTCAAAACACATTTAAATGTGTTTTCTTAAAGGGGCAGAAGTGTTTTGTTTTGCTCAACCAAACTGGGGGCTCCTTTTAGAGGGGCAATCTTTTTTTTTTCCTCAACAACTTTTCCCCGGCTCTTCTGGCTAGGTCCACTACAATTTTGGATCTTTGCCCAGAATGGGTTGGCCACCCCTGTAATAGCCTGTTGGGGAGTGGCACAAAGCATTAGCCCCACTTTTTTAAGCTCTGACTGAGTCCACAAAGAGATGTTTCTCGACTGATCCATCAGAACTGTGGCAGTGAATTTTAACTACCTCAAAGGGCTGTTCTGTGAACTACGTGGTTGGTTAGTGCTTGTAAAGTTCTCTGTACGTGGAAGGGGCTGCATAGGCTGTTGTGTATGTTGGGTCTAGTCCTGTGGTTCTACTTTGGCAAAAACTGCTCACTTTCCTGGGAGTTTTGCTTGAATAAGGCTTGCTGGATCAAACCCATTTAATGTGAAAAATGTGTTGATAATTAAAACTATCATTCCACAGCATTTTTTTTATATTTGAAATAAGTCTTTTCCAACAACCTCTCTAAGATGAGGGTAGAGGCGGGGAGGGTTTCAGTTACCCAGAAGTAGAATACTTTTGTTCCTCATAAAACCATTTCTTTGCCAATAGATTTTCAGCTAAACACTAGTAAATCCCAGAGCTCTGACAAATGAGGCCTGCTGAATTAGGCCAATCACTACTACAAATAGCTAGTGCACATGAAACAATAATCACTGCTTTCCAGTCTATTATTAGATTAACTTCATAGGGATTGCTTTTTTTCTCCTGTGAGTTGGTGCATAAATGACATGCCTTACCCACCAATAAATCTAACAGCAGAGTGGCTATGACATGATGTTCATACCTCTCAGTCCCATGACAGATTATTTTTGATTACTGCAGAAGTTTTCAGCAGCTTGAAACCATTAGAATTTAAAGGCATCGTTGACTTACACACAATGCTGCTGGTACTGGGCTAAGTTTCCGGTATATTGTCTCCATGTTGTGATTGCCAGTCACAGTGAGTCTGTCTTACTTGTTCTGATTTTGAAGAGGTGAATAATCATATGACACTTCTCCTCTGTGCTCTCTCCTTAGAGAGTTTGTGCTTTTGTGAGTAATGAAGCTTTTTGAGATTTCCACCTTGGGAGAGTCATTGGTGTTAAACAATTGTGGGACCCAACTCATGTAGACACAAAACATCATGCATTCATAGACGAACAAATGAAAAAAATAAGTTTGCCACTAATTAGCTTCTCCAAAGATTTTAAACAATCTATATATGTAGAATAAAAAAGTTATATTATTAGCAGATGGAATTCTATTTCAATAACATATAAGTGCTTTTAACAGTGTGTTTTTTTTCCAGATTTAAGAACTTTGTTTTTTCCTGATGAAACCCAGATAAAGTTTGCAAAGCTCAAGACTCTTCAAATCCAAGGTGTTTACTATTTATATCTCATGTCAATGACTGTATTTGGCTCTAGTTATAAGCTTTGTTTTAACTATTATTTTGTACAGCTGCATAGAATTTTGCTTCTTTAACCTTAAAAGGCTTGCATTTTTCAAGTTGTAAGACAGATGAATAGGAAGAGATATGCTGCCTATCCATCTCTGCCATTATAGCTATACCTGTGGGCAGTGCTTAAAGCGGCCTGAAAAATGTGCGTGTGTTTGTAATCACACACACACAGAGCCCCTGGACAAAGTGAGGGGAATGGTGGCTCCATGCTCCAACGAAGGGGTGGGGCCTTAGGCAGAAGGAGTGGGGTCGGGGCAGCAAGCCCCAGGCCATTAGAATTGCCGGGGACCAGAGCAATTGCCCCTTTCCCCTCCCCTGTCAGCAGACCTGTCACATCCCATCTGCTTACCCTCTGCCCAGCAATTAAATCTTTCCCAATCCGTCCTGTCCTCCCATTAATTCTGCCATCATCTTTTAAGCCTCCCCAAACACCCTTTCCCCAACACCTTCTGCAGTTCACCCTACTCCTCACGCAGCTTCTTCATCCCTCTGTCAAGTCTGGGGCAAGATGCTTCAGGATCTCCTCTTCCCTTGCAAGGACAGGTATTTCAGGGAAAGATAGGCAAGAAACAGAATTGAAATCCTGTTGCTTATGCGGTTGGGTGCGGAGGGAAAATTGCAGAGGTGCCTTGAACTTCGGAGCTCTTTCTGTTCCTCTCTCCCTTCCTGTGAGAACAGTGCAAGGATGTTACCTGTAGCCTGAATGAGCCCTGATTGGCTGCTTTTCCTCAGGAAGCAGACAAGTAAGGAAAGCAGTTGATCAAAGGGTCCCCTCTCCCACAAGCAGTACTAAAATTTTGTGCCTCAATAACCCAACACATTTTTTTAGAATTTGTTTCCTGGATCTGTGACCCATTGAAACCTATTATACTTTAAGCACTGCCTATGGCTCTTTTTATGCATCTACATATGTATTTTGTATAGTGTGTGTGTGTGTGTGTGTGTGTGTGTGTGTGTGTGTGTGTGTGCGCTCGCGCGTTTTCTAACATGTTTTCATTAATTCACTCTTACATTTCCAAATTCTTAGCTATGACAACTAAAAAAAGCTAGCTTGTATCTCTAACTTTCTTGGGCCAAAATTAGTTGTACAGTAGCACTTTTGTTATGATATACATTGTAGCGTGATTTGTATCAGAGAGAAAGTGAAAATGAAGGCAAATCTAATATAGTTCATTGGTGGTTGTATTGTTGATCAGCATACTCTTTTAGTGTAATATATGTAGTGCTATTGGTGCGGTACTTTTTAAAAACAAATACACTCCAAGGCCTCGTCTACACTGGCCCCTTTTCCGGAAGGGGCATGTTAATTTCACCTATCGTAGTAGGGAAATCCGCGGGGGATTTAAATATCCCCCGCGGCATTTAAATAAAAATGTCCGCCGCTTTTTTCCGGCTTTTAAAAAAGCCGGAAAAGAGCGTCTACACTGGCCCCGATCCTCCGGAAAAAGCGCCCTTTTCCGGAGGCTCTTATTCCTACTTTGAATAAGAGGGCCAGTGTAGACGCTCTTTTCCGGCTTTTTTAAAAGCCGGAAAAAAGCGGCGGACATTTTTATTTAAATGCCGCAGGGGATATTTAAATCCCCCGCGGATTTCCCTACTACGATAGGTGAAATTAACATGCCCCTTCCGGAAAAGGGGCCAGTGTAGACGTAGCCCAAAAGTTTAGTCAGATACAAAATTTCACATGTGATATATTTTGTATTAGGGCACTTTTTTCTGTGAATTTCAATGGATAATTCACTATTTGTACACCAGATGTTACCTCATAACATGTGGGATAAATCCTTTCTGCACCTGTAGCATAATATTGTCCTTATGCTATGGCCTAATACCTTGGCTAATACCATAGCAGTTTTCTTATGACTTCAAAGTAACTGAAAACCACATTCAGATGGAAAACATTTTATTATTTCTAATTTTTAGCTTTGTATATTAACTATAATAACTAATGAGTTTAGAAGAATAATATGTATGGCCATACGTGAAAAGCATGCCTCATAACTTATGTACATTTGTAAGAATTGCCAGTGTTTACAGTATTTGCAAAACCAAATCCATTCTGGAAATTATGTGGATGTATACCTTCATTTGGGGTTAAGTTCGGCTTTTGATTGAGGTTTTTTCTATATTTCTATCATCTTCTAATTCCTTCTGGAGAAAACAGTAATTTGTATCTTTAAGAGGAAAAAAGTTAATTGAAATAATGTAATAATAAGGTAATTTAGTAAAACTATTAGATTTTGTTTTTTACTCTTTTAAACCTACTATTTTAAAAATTACTTTTGAATTAAAAATGCTCTAAAACTATTCTTGGTGTTAGCACATTGCATATTTAGGCACATTTTAATTCCCATTTTTCTTTGCTTGAATAGTAAAATCTTTATAAATTGGAAACTAGAATTAATTGAATAAGCTCCCATTGAATGTTTTAGTGTTTTTGTTTGCATTTTAAAAGTGCATTGCAAACTTTTTTTTACAGGAAATGATATTTCTTAACATTGGCCACACCTCACCAAGATAATGTAGGACAGGAAAATAGTGCTGATATAGGGAAGCAAAAGCAACTAACATAAAATGTTCAGTAGCAGCTCTCAGAGTATATTTTTATTTCAGCATGATAGCTGTTATTGCTAGGATCTGTTTCTAAATTTTATTTCCCAATACACTATAGAATCCCTAAGACCATGACAGGCCTTAAATCTTGGTACACAGCTGGAGTGGTTACTACAGTGTCTCTTCCTCAGTTAGTGTGGTACTTCTGCCCACTTGCTAAACAGAATAACAAATTACTGAAATAGAGACTGATGCCAAAATGTTCAAACATGGGGACCCAAGCACTCAAATACGTAATTTGACTTTTTGAGATGTTCAGCATAGGACTTTTCCCACTGCAATAAGTGACCTGCATGAAAATAGATCACTTAGCTGATGTGGGTGGAGGTATGCCTACATTTATGCAGCTACATTTCAAAATGTTGGCTTTCACATTATTTGTCATCTTTGAGGTAACTATATTTTATTATAGCAATCACTTATGCAATAATCACAGATGTAATTTTATAATGAACATTTAAGACCCAATTCAGCAAAACACTTAAGTACTTTCTTGCCTATAACCAAATGAGTTGTGTCATTTATTGTCAATGAAAACATTTGCTTAAAGCTAAGATCCTGTTCAAGTACTCTGGTAATTGAGGCCTAAATTTTTCCATTCACCATGGTCACCACATGTACTGGTGCCAGAAGGTTTTCCCTAAGCAATACCCATAGGGGACCAGGCTCAGAGCCTCTTGGAGTGGCTTGGGTTGCCAGGTGTCCGGTTTTGAACTGGACAGTCCAGTATTTGAGCTTTCTGTTCAGAAAACAAATGAGAAAGTATAAATGTCCAGTATTTTCTAAATATGATGTAATGTGGATTGTGATGTAATGTCAAATGTGTCCAGTATTTTTGTTGAAACCATCTAGCAACTCTAAGTGGCACGCACATGCCACACTATATAGGGTGCTCCTAGGCCCCTCCTTCCTCAGTTTCTATTTGCTGAGAGTCAGGCGCTTGGAACAGTGTGCTTCAGCCTTAGCTGTAGCTTAGTTAATGTTCCCTATTTAATTGTAAATAGTTGTTCCCCTTAGATAAGTACTTGTAAATAGTTGCAGATTTGCAGTTCCTTAGCCCTCCTTAGGGACTCGGCCTGGGGACAGGGCATGCCCCACTCACCTAGTTTTAAAGCTTGCGCTACATGCTCGTCAATGATGTGCATTCTGACTACTTCCTTTGCCTAGGAGAAGCACATATTTTGGACAAGTGTTGAACCTGCAAGTCCTTTCATCCCAGGACAATAAAAGATACAGTTAAATTCTTAAAAGCTCTACTCATGGAGTCTACCCTCGCTCCCTAGGACCAGCACTCAGACTTGGCACAGAGCATCAGCGTGTCCGTTCAGAGCACTCCTCTGTCGCTGACAGGCCAGCACCTGTAGTTGTCCCTGGCTCTGACTAAGAAACCAAAAAAGTTGACCAGGGACACATCCCCAGTAGGGATGTAAAAGAGTAGTTGATTAGTCGACTACCTTATAAGCCTAGGCTTATTGGGTAATCAAGTTGACTACTCACATTCCCCCCCCCCCCCCCCCCCCCTCTCCTTATTTTTCACACT